AAAAAAAAAAAAAAAAAAAAAAAAAAAAAAAAAAAAAAAAAAAAAAAAAAAAAAAAAAAAAAAAAAAAAGAAAAAAACAAAAAAAAGTTTTTTCGGGAATCCAAAACGTGTAAGAATATTTATGAAAGTGTAACACTGACGATACATAAAAATACATAAATATATGCGTATTGAATCTGACTCACCCGTTTTTTTCTCTTTCATCTATTTCCCGCCCTTAAACTTTAATACGGATGACCAATAAACATTTCCATGTTTTCTATCTATTTACTTGTGTTGCAAACATCAGAATACCCCATATTTCTTCCTCTCGGCTTTAAAAAGAGATAACAAACAAACAAATATTTGATAATACAAGCTCGTCTTTCCTCACCTATTTATTTTTATATATAAATAAATAATAGTAATAGTAATAGTAATAGTAATTAAAAAAAAACATTCAGAAATGTCGAAATTTTTCAAAAATTTAATGAGGAAGAAAACCCTAAACAATACAAATTACGATGAAGTAAATTACACGGACATGGAGGGCTCTCCCGTTTATGGTGCACTACCGGTTGACTCCTACCTAGTTGGTGGTTATGACTCTGAACCCATAAAAGATATTCGACTCGTCTTTGAAGGAGAAAATAAAGATACTTTTGTTCTAGTGCCTGGTTTATTACCCTATGACACAATTGAAATCGGTGGAATTATTATTGCTGACTACTGGGGTGATGTGAAAGAGCAGGTTGAGGATCCTTGTATCACCAGTCCTAGCCCTTTTGGAGTAAGTACAATTTAATTTTTCCTTTGATATCTATGTGTTTACATTTATAATATATCAAGAAATATAAACATATATCCTTTTTTAGTCGCTTCACGATCGAGCGGTAGAATTATATTATCAAATAAAAGGTGGTCAAGTGGTATGTCTTATGTCTTAATTTTTTAAATTTTGATTAATTCATCTCTAATCCATTTTATAATCCATCTTTTTTATCTAGGATTATGGACTAGTTCACTCTCATCAGTTCTGTCATAAGCAATTGGGTGAAACATATGAAGGTCTGGTACCAAATTGGAGTCCAGAGAACCCTATCGTCCTTATAGGTAATCTTATATTTGATATTTATTTTTTATAATTTTATTATTAGCCTTTTTTTCTATATTATTTTATTTATCTGTTGATCTTTATTAGGAAAAGGTTATGGTGCAACGACCGCCCTTTATCTTCAACATCTTCTTTCTACTAATTTCTTCGGACAACACACAGCTGGCAAAATGATTAAAGGCATTATTTGTTGGTCTGCTCCACATCGTGGTTCCACCCTTCCTTACTATCTTGGCCTTGAACCTGGTTCAAGATGCCTCGTACATCCTTTCTCAATCTTACAATTATTATTATCCCTTATTCATCTCATTTGTTATTTCACCTTCCTCGAAAAACTTTTCAACTTCGGATTGAATGATAAATTTGGTCTCGCCCCGAAAAGCGAAGGTGGTGAACAGTCTTTAGGGAGTGCCCTTTCTGCACGTAGCAGATTTTCTTGTTTTGGTGATAATTTCTTGGCTGATTGGTCTGTAGAGGGTGCGAGAATGCGCTACGCCGGTGATGAAAAAGATAAACATTATTTGGATCCTCATTGTATTTATCTAAATTATGTTTCAACCGGCCGTACTTGGAAGTCAAAAATAACCGGACATTACTGGGTATATTTCATTTTCTTTTTTTATATATAATATATATATATATATATATTGTTGTATGAATTTATCTGTTTTTATTATTTATTCATTTATATATATATTATTAAAAACAGCCACGCTTGTCATGGAGAAATATCCCTACATGGTTTATTTCCATTATGCTTGGTCGTTATAAACTTGCTACTGATGCTGAACGACAAGTTTTACGTACTTCATCTTCTACTTATTGGCAAAATGATGGAACGCTTTCTGTTCACGCTCAGCTTCCACCACCACATCAACATGTCTTAATGAATATAGCCCTTGATCAAAGGTTATATGACCCCGTAGAACATGAAATCACTCCTGGTGTCTGGTATAATTTATACGTTAATGATCCTTCACAAACCGTTCTATTTAATAGTGTACCTAGCTTTATTACTTTATCATTCATCGATTACATCATCAATTGGTCTTTTACCAGCCATTTTATTAATTCCCTATCACGACATTCTGAAAGTTTCGAATCTTTTTATATTCGCTTTATTGAATTCTGTGAACGCAGCTTTAGATTTTCTTCTAAGAAATCACATATAAATTATGATGACAATGTGAGCTTCTCTGATTCTTCCGCCAAATCATATTTTCCCACCACTACCTCTGAACGCACAGATAAATTCACAAGCGACAAAGCTGGATTAGAATGGATCCACAAAATTGAAACAATGGAGATTCTTACAAGTCCTAGCAAAATGCTTTATTGGATGAATCAGATGCAATCTACCTTAGATAACGGCTCTCCTTTATCTGAAACTGGAAAAAAGAATGATTTCTCTTTTTCTTCTACTACTTCACTTATGCAAGGACCAATGTTCATTAAAGCTAAACGTAGATTGACTGCTGATGATTATAAAGCATCTGTGATGAATTGTGATGGTTCATGAGGAATAAGAAATTTTTTAACAAAAAAAAAAACCATTATCAATAAATTTAATTATTTGCAATAATTATATTTTTTGATAGTGCATAGTTTCATTCTTTCATATTTTTTAATAATATAGATTTGACTCAATATTTTTATTTGTTTTAAAAAAGTATATTTATATTATATTATCCCCTTTAAGGAATCAACATTATTATTAAAATTAAAATTAAAATATTATCATAAAATTATCATTCTATTAGTCTCTTTAATTTATCTCATCATTTCACACATCTTTTTTTTTTATCGTCGTGAATGTAAATTATATCATGATTATTATTTTTATGACGAGTGTTAATTTTTGTTGTAGTTCATTAACATAGTGTGATTAGGATTAAGGTTTTTAGAATTGATAGTAGTATAAAGAGGCTTCAATAGTACCCCCTAAAAAAATCTTTTTTGCAAAAATATATAAATATATAAATATATATATAATATAATTTTTTGCCCGGAGCGTAGCGAGGCTCTTAGCGTTAATGTTTATGCGAATGATACAAGAATTACGTTTTTTGATACATTTTGACTCAAATGTCGGTTGGTTGATTTTTTTTAAAAAAAAGGAAAGCCGCCCCCATATTAGAAAGTGAACAAAATAAGTTAGTATAAAAATGATAAAGTTGTTTGTCATATATAGAGATATTGTCAATTTTTCATTGTTAGGGTTACGACTCAAATTTACTAGTTTTGGATTAAATAGAATCCAAAATAGTACGTATTACTGGGTTCGCAAAAGCGGTATAATTTGCTATTTCAATACGAATAGTTTTTATATTATAGTATGCCATGTTAATAAAAAGATGCTACCCGGGTGGTAAATTAATTTTTGCTCCAATAATTATCTAATCAAACCGCAGAATCAAAAAATTTATTGTCCGGAGCGTAGCGAAGGACATTTAATGTACATGTAAAGTGATACAAAAGTTACGTTTTTGATGCAAAGTTAGCTACCTTTTTGATGCATCTGCATAAACATTATGAAGATCAGATCAAAAATGTA